AAATATATGACTATTTTTTGTGAATCATTTTATTAAAATAGTCATGCATAAATTAATAAATGTATTAAATTACAGATACACGTATGTATATACACATGCATGTTAAAAACTAAAATGATATAATACAAATTAATTCATTCTCTGCGGTTCATTAATATATCTTATTATTATGAAAGAGAACGAAGATCGAATGCATTTTGTAAAATAAGCGAAGATATTTATACACTTAAAGTAGATATTCTTATACTGGGGCTGAATAAAACTTTAAACACGAACGAATATATACAAGTACATATTACATGAACTAGAAGAACACACACATTAGGTGTATTTAATTATGTATTTAAATGCATTATATATTATTATATTAACTAGACCATTCGTTGAAATTTGGAATGAACTTATAAAACTATGCCCACTAACATAAATAACTTCTTCATATAAAAAACAATTACTACTGAGAAATGCATACATATTTAAAAATATAACATCGATAGAAATTTATAGAAAATTAAAAAAAAAAACAAAAATAAATAAAAATAAAAAGAAGTTATGTCGCAACATATATACATATATTATTCATACACGTATATTTACTTTGCATTATAAACGAATATATAAATAAGCACTTATGGACATGCAGAAATGCATATATGTATCAGGCATCCTAATTTAAAACTAACCGATATTTTGTAGTCAGTCTTGTATCAGAATCGTAGGTAATTAGTCTGCACGTAATTTTTAGACTAAGGAATTGCACTGGTATTGATTGCCCTAAGCTTAGCTCTGTGTACAAAACTGATTTGCATAGTATGAATTATCCTATAAAATCGTGTTTTAAAAGAATATGATTTATACAAATTTGTTTTCAAGAACTCTTTAATGTAAGTTAATATTTTATTGGACTAAATAATTGCTGGATATTCGAATAATACAATGCAATTTTATAGTATTCGTAATAGTCAATAGTCCAAAAGTAAATCAACTTCACTTCAGGAAGATCAATATGACAACTATCAAATTTTTATTTTAAAGTAGCAGCTCATGCTTTTTACATATACATAGAATCATCAAACCAGTTACTTAATTTTATAATGCGTTAAAAATCTTTACACTATTTTTGAAAAAGGCAAAATCACGAAAAGATATTGGTAATCGCATATAATATTTCCAAAGAACAATTCTTGAATACGCTAATTTTTGTCAAGTATTTGGTTTTACAAATAAATTTTCAGGGCTGTCGAAAGTTTGACACCAAATAGGGAAAAATATGACTAATTTTAGTTCGCATGTATGCAAGTGTTTCAATTACTAAGTAAAAAATAAATAAAGTGTTGGAAAAAATGTTTTAGATTCTCCCATTCTTTTTAGAATTATGAAATGAAAAAAGTTCAAATTAATTGATGTCTACTTATTTAAAAACAAATAAGGAAGGGCTAAGTTCGGGTGTCACCGAAAATTTTATACTCTCGGATGACAAGTTTCATCAAGATATCTGAATTTTTACTCAAGTTACAGCTTGCACGGACGGATAGACAGACATCCGGATTTCAACTCTACTCGTCACCCTGATCACTTTGGTATATGTAACCATTTATCTGACGATATATACCGTTATTAGCAACTTTATTGCGAGAGTATAAAAATGATGCCCTCTGAATTACATGAAAATRTCTGAGAGATTTACCGATATTTTCGGTGAAAAATTAGGTTAGGCTAGGTTAGGCACTGAGTTCTTCGTGTTCGATATCAGGAACCTTGAAAAGTTATAGTCCGATTACGACAATTTTTCCACAAGGGATACCTCAGCTTCCTTCTGCCATTTCTTCCGTAAAATTTAGTGCTTCTGACATTTTTTGTTAGTCGGTTAACGCCTTTTAGTGATTTTCAACATAACCTTTGTATGGGAGGTGGGCGTGGTTATTATCCGATTTCTTCCATTTTTGAACTGTATATGGAAATGTCTGAAGGAAACGACTGTATAGAGTTTGGTTGACATAGCTATAGTAGTTTCCGAGATAAGTACAAAAATCTTCGTAGGGGGCGTCGCCATGCCCACTTTTCCAAAAAAATATGACCCTCCCTAATACGATCCYTTGTGCCAAATTTCACTTAATTATCTTTATTTATGGCTTAGTTATGACACTTTATAGGTTTTCGGTTTTCGCCATTTTGTGGACGTGGCAGTGGGCCGATTTTGCCCATCTTCGAACTTAACCTTCTTATGAAGCCAAGAAATACGTGTACTAAGTTTCATCATGATACCTCAATTTTTACTCAAGTTACAGCTTGCACGGACGGACAGACGGACGGACGGACAGACAGACATCCGGATTTCAACTCTATATATATAACCCTATATCTTACTCTTTTAGTTTTAGAACTACAAACAACCGTTATGTGAACAAAACTATAATACTCTCCTTAGCAACTTTGTTGTGAGAGTATAATAAGCGATTGATAATGATTTGCTTCTAATGAGCTTTTGTCAGTGTAAAGAATTATTGTATAGATAAAAATATTTTGAATTTCTTGTGTCAAATTGTTTTCGATTTTCTTAACTTTGAATTTTACTCTTATACATTTAAGGACATCAATTAATTTTTATTTCTTCATATTTAAGGATTCAGGTAAGTGCAGTAAAAAAATTGCAATTATATATATATATTACAAAAATAAATAATTAATTCATTAAGCACTCTTGTAAAAAATTGATCAATTTCTAGGTTATGTGCATGATAACATATACTTCAAAATTATTAAATATTAATTGTAATCAATTTATCTTTGCGTAGCTCACGCAAAATTTCGTGAATACATTTCGTCAAATGAAAAGTTTACGAATGTATAACAGCTATATTTGCTCAACAAAAATATGAATTCATCAAATTTGTTAAGTCAAGGGTGAAACGTCCGACGAAATTTTTCAGATCGAGTCATTATATCGCATAAATGACACACAAACCGACCAATCAAAGTTCTTGTAATAAAAATGTTTGTTTATTTGTGAAGGGTATTATTGGTTCGGTTCAAATACTCATATTAAATATTTATAAAGACTACGTTGTCCTGGTCAATCARATTTTTTACAAACATTAATTAATTTAAAATGCTCTTTTTCTTCAATATATACAAAAACCACAGATACAAAAACCACAAACTTGCCACATAATTAATGTGCATTATACTCTAAAAAAATATACATATATAAAGGATCACTTCGTCAGCATATGCGTTTAACGATTTGATACTAGGTGCTGTAAAAACAAAATAAATATAGTCCACTAAACTGACGAATAAAATGGATTTTGTTAAATTTTTTTGGTTTCCTAATGCTTTATATCGCATAGTGGGTTATGATTTTCAACAATTGCCACGAGCACATTGGCGACAGGCTTTAATGAAAGCGTTTCTTATATTCACGACCATAAGTGGTATATGCACGCGCATCTATATGCTATTCCAATTGCGTGAACTGATTTTAAATGGTGACATTTTGAATAGCTTTCGTTTGGGTGTATATATATCTTATGCTATTGATTCAAATGTGAAATTTTTTGTATTTCTTCTAAATGCAAAACGTCTTCGTGTAATTTACCAATCTCTATCTAACGAGTACCCAATGACGTCTATGGAACAAAAATTATACCAAGTGGATAAATACAGCTTCAAACGTGCACGTATAATGATTGTKTCTTATCTATCGGTAACTAATTCGATACTTATTGGACCAATGCTCCAGTCAATTTTCATGTATATAATAGATTTATTTCGTGACGGTTATACTGCAGCAGCATTTTCATATTTGCATCCAACACCTATGTCATATAACTTTAACTATTGTACGCCACATTATTACATTCTCATCTATATTTCGGAATATTTAAACGGGCATTTTTGTACAACAACAAATTTGGGAACGGATTTATATGTGTGCACTTTTGCGGGACAATTTTGTATGCAACTGGAATATTTGGGATCCTCACTGGAAGCTTATGAGCCTACCATGGATAACTCGAAGGCAGATTGTGAATTTTTGATGGAATGGATAAGAAAGCATCAGTTAATGTTGGAGTAAGCTATATTTTAAATTTTATTTTGTAATCACTCACATAAAATATGATGCATGTAAACAAATATACATTATACCATATGAACATAAATTCTCGGTTTGTGAATGATTACTCCTAACTTATGGTAATATATTTTTATAATACATGTATCAATATTTAAATTAAAATTTTTAATTTACAGTCTTTGTAGCGAACTAAATGAAGTTTTTGGAACAACTCTATTATTTAAATTAATATCAAATTGCGCCGTATTTTGCATAATTGTTGTTCAACTGAAATTGGAGGGATTTGGTTTCGGATTTTTAAATTTTCTCAGCTTCTTTTTCGTTACTGTTGCCCAATTCTTTATGGTATGTCAATATGGACAGAAGCTAATTACAATTGTAAGTTCCTATAATCGCAATTATTCTGTTATCGGGTGTAATGGTACTTCTGTCTCGAACATTTAACATATTTTAAATTATTGAACCAATTAGTTAGTGAAATGGTAAAACATCTACAAATTTTCACATGTTTTATCCAAAATTAGATAGGCAGCAAGCAGTTTTTTTGCACCCCTAACGTATTTAACAGTGTTATGAACTTATATATGTACGTGTCGTAATTATTTTTATTATTTTAGAGTGAAAACCTAGCACTATGTGCATACAAAAACCGTTGGTATAATGGCTCGCAAACATACAAAACCTTATTATTTAACATAATTGCGCGTGCGCAGAAGCCAGTTCGGCTAACCGCGAAAGGATTTCAACCTATATCGCTGGCGACCTTTCAAATTGTGAGAAGTTGAATATTATTGAATCATTTAAAATATGTAATTAATTTTTTTYCTCTCTTACCCTAGGTAATGACGATGACCTATCGCGTATTCGCGGTACTGCAACGTGCTTTGGACTAGAATAATTATTATTTTATTGTTTATACAAAATATTTTGGTAATTCATCACTACATCATACTATCTACATGTACACAATTTTAATCTTCAACTTATAACCAAAATTAAAATTTTATTTCAATATGTGTTTTATATATACCCAAATGGTAGCTATTAAATGGGTGTGAAATGTTTAGAGTTATGAGCAAAACTCTATTAAAAAATTTAATTCTTTAATAATTATACATTATTTATAATGCAAAGGTGCTTGTGTATTTAATAAAGTCAACCGGAATAATGGAAATTAGCAGAAGCCCTTAACCGTTTTTTTTCGAATTTTAATACTTATTCAATAAAAGTTGCGCACTTATTTCTGACTTATTTTGCTAGTTATAAACCGTTGCATGAAGTTCATAATCCTGTTTAACAAACGAACAGACAGACATRTATACATATGTATGTTAATATTGGTTTAAGATGTTACAAACAACTTTGCTGCATGCTGCATTAGTATTAGGTTGCGGAGAGAGCGTAGTTCTAGTTTTATTCGTCGCATCGGGTCATGCTATACCTTTTTGAAAAGATCATTTCACGCGCTAACACATGTTTGATTGATTGTCGTTTCTTTTAAGTCGTTCGTGAGTTATAGCGTCGCAAAGATGGAGCAAAATAAAGAGAAAATACGGCATATTTTACAGTACTACTGCGATAAAGGCAAAAATGCATCTCAAGCCGCCAATAAAACTTGTGCAGTTTACGGACCCGATACAGTTTCCATTTCCACCGCACAAGGATGGTTTCCACGTTTTCGTTCTGGAAGGCCTGTCGTCGAAAATTGCAAGAAAATCGCTGAATTAGTCGAAAGAGACTAGCATAGTAGCAGACCGTAGCATCGGTCAAGAGCTGGGCATGAGTCATCAAAAAAAAAATTTATGAAGAATTGAAAATTCAATAAAAATATCGCAAGACTTTTTGGACAACCTATTATTATATAATTATATGAAGTTAGCACATTCACATTCATATTTTGAATACTTGTTGAGCGACTTTTAAGTCCCATTTTTAAAAGTACTTTAAAAATGCATACATTCTTTTCGAAAGCAAATGCAGTTCGTTATTTCACATTCATATACACAAGTAATAAAATGCCTTCATTTAGGGTGCACTGCTAGGCGCTTTAAAGCTCTGTCTTGCATGGGCAATGTCTATCGGAACCAGCAGGTATCGTACCCTGCTGGTATATAAGCTGAAATTACTACAGAAATATATATTACATTTTATATGTCTGCTACAATCGATCTTCGCAGTAATGGTGTAACAGTAGCATAAACTTGCTGCAGTGTTGGGTGAATATGTGGGCGAACAACCGTGGACGTTAGGTTGCTGGTTATTAACAACCTTAAAGGCAACACTATTGCAAATTGCTAAAGCAATTTTTAATTTTATTGCTTTCGATTTTTCGCGCTCTCTTGCGCCGTCGTAGTTTTGTAGACCATCTATTTTCGTGTGGCAGTTAGTCGGCGGTCGTTTGGTAACTGCTAATTGTGTGCCTCAAGCGATACGTTCGTGCTACTAATTTGATTATAATTTTGTACAAGTATTGAATTACATATTTCGGTAATGTGCTTTTATTAAATTAACGCTTATAGAGTGTACAAAGAACGTATGAGACTCAGTACAGTTAAGAAAAGCTATGAGCTTGACGTACAATTACTACTAGAATACTATATCGTAAACTTTAAATTTCAAAAATACATATTCGAAGTAATAGTTTTTAAATTTTATAATTTTTGTATTTAAGCAGTAAACTATTTTGGTGCGAATTATCGGAAGTACGTGAGCTGTTAATCATTTTAATAGGTGGTAAGTTATTTCAAAATTTATCTTTAAAAAATTTTCCCGGAGAATTAATTTCTTAATTCGTTATAGTATCTTAACATTTTACAAAGCAATATTGAGATTGTTGATTTTGAGCCACAAGCGCGAGAGACATATTGCTTTTAAAAATATATCAATACTAGAATTTTGTAGGGTCYAGTCTGAAATTTATAAATTAGTAACTAAAAATCTGTTCATAAATAAAATTTGACAAATTTAAACAGTACCATGAAACTGTGAAAATAAATATCTTCCACGTTTTAACATATTTATAATATAAAAAATAAGAATGTGGTAATGTTAGAAACTGCCACAAATATAAAATGCTTCTGAAATTGAGAATATTTTGACGATTCGATAGATCCAACATACATTCAGCATGCCAACATGGTTCTTAAATTCCAAATCAACAATCGAGGGCTGAAGTTCCAATTTTTTCGCCACTAGGAAACCTTAAATATTGACTTCTAAAAATTTTATAATTAATTTACAATTAATTTACATTACAGTATCTTATAATCTCCATCTTCCAATATTTGTTATAACTATTTACAGTTTCTATAGTGGATAGCATTCACAGAAAAAATTATAATAGTAAAACAAATACCAATACTTTTAATAGTAACATTGCCAATATGTCCGAATAATTCAATTATCGTTTTAATAAGTTCAAAACTAAATGAGGAATTTTAGATTTTCAATGCAAAAATCATATATCGAAATTTCCCGAACATTTTGAATATGTAAATATGTTATAAATTTTGCAAACGATAATACATATACGAAAGGCGAGTCACGCAACAATTATCAGTTAATGAGATCAAAAATGTAAATATATATTTTAGGGAATGGTCAGGTGTTTTCCTGAGTGGCTTGTTTTTATTTAAGAAATTCTAGTTTTAAACTATTATATTCTAGGCGCAATTATATAAAAAACTTTAGTTTGTTTTGAGGAAATGATATGCGCACGTATGCAGTATTTGCATATATACTTAAATTGCTGATTTGCCATTGAAAAAACAAAACAGAGACAACTAATCYAATTAAGACGTTTAAGGTTATGATTCCTACATTTCTGTGCTGTCTTTTGCATACATGGCTTGAAAGCTTACGTTTGACTTTCTACTTTCATACACAATAAGTATGATCATTAAAAATAGTATTAAAATTTCTGCGATATTGATAACATTTATGCGCATGTATTGCACGAGTGTATTAAAAGTTAAAAGAAAGTTCAAAATTTAAGCAAACAAAACCGCTCACTACTATACTAATATCTTTTTCTATGAATGGCATAAATGTACTTATACGTAGTGCGTATTCTATAGGAATAAATATTTATGRAAAAATTAAATATATGTAACTAAAAAGTGTTACTTAAACTTAAGTCTATTTTAATTATACTTACTAAATGTACTGAAATCGATAGAAAAACATCTAAATACATTTTTACGGATAAAATATTTGAGATTTTGATGAAAGTAAATATTATTTCGCTAGATGGCACAGCTCAGACTTAACATTACTTTTAATACCCCGAACAGAGTATATTAAGTTTGCCAAAATAGTTGTAATAGCCATAAGGAAAAACAAATGCCAAAGAATGTGGTTTCGAATGATAACAAAAATTCCCCATTAAAATTAAAGTTTCTGTTTCCCTTAGATTTTAAGATTTTGCACATGTTCTTTTCTCTCCAAGAAACTGCTTATTTGTCGGAACTGTCAATGTCAGACCTCTATAGCATATAGCTACTATACAAACTGATAGGTTCAATTCAAGTATTTACTTGTAAGAAAAACTTTTTTATTTTTCAAGATATCTTCATGAAGTTTGACATAGATTATTTTAAAATATCCAAAAAACTCGTTCAGATCAGCTCAAGTCAAGATTAAATTCTTGTATAGAAAACTTTATATATCTTCACAAATTGTTTAGATCGGACCACTACAGCGTATAACTTCTATTCAACTGCGCGATCCAAATTGAGGCAAAGATTTAGACTTGAAGGTTGTTTAAATCAGAAATAACTAACAAAACATGCAAACGCTGGTTCATGTCCAAGAAAACACAAAGGCAATGTCGGCTAACATATGTACATATCTTCAAGAGGAGTTCACATTTCTCCCTTGCTTGAAATTGGTGAATTGAGTCATTAACTAGATTTATATTACGAAATAAAATATTCGGAAAGTATTATCTTGTCCGTTATTTAAATGGTTGCTTTAAAATGTTACTAAAAATTAATTTAACATTGTTAAAGATAACGTTATGCCTATATTGAGTGCGAACGATACTCTAATTGAAATAATTCTATGTATCACTGAGAGCTTTAGTTAGTGTCATCTGAGGTCGTAGATGTTGAATGCAAGAAATTATTTTTTTTTATGTGGATTAATTTCATTTATTTGCTTATCGAATGTTTGGTGTAGGGTAGATCTTGTTTAATGATTATCTATATATTTCCGCTAATTACTTGCGATTAGAATTCGAATTTTCAAATTTGATTTTAATCACCCATACTTTACTATTTTCCAGCCCAAAAAGTTTCGCGCTCACTCTCAATTCCTTGCTGCATTTTTCATACCATTGCGCATGTTCTAGCTTAGTTACTGGTATATCCTGGCATCTGAATACATTTGTTCGTTCATATAAATATACATATATAGTACATACATAAAGGACTTAAGCAAGTGTATAAACAGGGATAATTTGTTAAACCGATTCTTTCTCTGACGATATACTGAATTGCTCAAGTGGCAAATTTTTACCAAATCTATAGCTTAAGCATTTATTTTTTTTTGTGGTTATAACGCCAACTCCATAGTTTGGAGGATGTTGTACAATTTGTATATGTATGTATAGTATTTCAATTACATCTCGTCGAAGTGTAATATAAGATTTCTTGCAATGCAACAACCATTTTCTTGGGTTAACCTATAGTAAGCATACTGGTGGACGTTGGCACACTTCTTGCGGTCTGTTTAATTGCATGAGTAGATTTAGACTCCTTGCCGGTTTATGTTCACGTTATTTTATGAGTTATCCAGAAAAGAGCTCCATTCTTCCAAATTAAGAAACTAAATAAAATTAAAAGAAAAATTGGAGAGTTATGATTATGAGAGAAAATTCCGAACGAGTTTCCAACAAATTTATAACAGATAGAGAGTTCGTAATCTGTAAAAGCGTCACGATTTATGTTATAAGCTTTATGTTTTAAAAGAAACTTAA